GACTCTGCCGTGGACTCTGTTCTGGTCAACCTTTTCACCATTGATGGGATGATGACATCCGTGGACTGTGTCAAAGAATTATGCAGACTTTGTCTAATTCTTGGTTGAAAGCAAAAGAAACAGACTCTAATTAATTAATTAATTTAAAAAATTGATTTATTTATGCATACAAGAACTGGGGTATAGGCCAGCAGTGTGTGTGTGTGTGTGTTGGGGGGGGGTGAGAAGATTCACTGGAGACAGTGGGGAGCAGAACAGGTAGATCTACTGAAATACAGTGCTGAGGGGAGCAGCGGGTGAGGCAGGTGTTGCACCATATGGGTCACCTCCCTGGCTGCCAGGGGATCAAACTCGAGCTGCAATGGTTGGCAATAGCTTGATAGTGCTGTCTTTAACCCCTGAGTCATCAGGGTGGCCCAAGACTCTGATTAAGAGAATTAACTAAGCTAAGGACTGGACTTGAACAGGATTGAAGGAAGACAAAGCCTCGCCAAGATCCTAGCATGGAAGTGATTTGCTTGGGACTCTCAGCTGGGCATGTTGCTACCAAGCAATTCTGCTCGTTCTTGCAACCTATAGTTCTTGGGCTCTCACCATCTGCTCTGGAGTCAATGTTTGTGGCTCCAAAGAATTCATATATTGAAGACCTAGTCTTTAAGATGGTGCTACTTGAAGATTGGTCTTTTGGAGGGTGACCAGGATCTGAGAACAGAGCCCTCACGATGGCATTGATGCTGTAATAGAAGAGACTGGAGAGATTTGCTTCCATGCCCTTCCCCTCTCCACTCCCTCCACCATGTAAAGGACCAGACAGACAGTCTTCACCAGAACCCAGTCAGACTGGCATTCTGACCTCTACTCAGAGGCAAAAATTAAGCATTTGTTCTTGAAGCCACCTAGTTTATGGTACTTTTGTCATGTCCCCTCATACTGACAGAGGCACAGGGCTCATCGCTAACCTCCCTGTGCCTTGCAGCACTTTTTGCAGAGTTCTGTGTGGAAACATATGATTGGCTAAAGTGAAGTCATGGGCCCAAGCCCATGGGCCTACGGTGGTGTGTCAGGGGCCAGGGAAAGGTAATGTCTCCTTACTTCAGCTTCCGTTAACAGGAGAATGAGCCTGCCTCCAATTTATCTCACCTTTGTCTACACAGAGAGAGCTGCTAATCCTTGAGAAAGGACTTCCTCTTTTCTGGTCTGGGTCTCTATTTCTCCTACTTCTCTCCTAGAGGTCCCAAGGGTATAGATTATTTTCCTTCCTTTTAGAACACTTAACTGCCTTCCATGCAATATTTTGGAGTTCGCCTAAATTGGCTGTGGATCAGATAAATCTCCCTGCTCTCTACTTCTTCATATTCTGCAAATGAGCTCATGGATTTTACTCTTTTGAAAGGGTTCCCTGCTGAGGCCTGTCAGAATCTCTGCATTCAGTTCAGTTAAATTCTATAAACTTTAATGAACCAATTTTTCTGCTTCAAAAGTGGAGACTCCAGGAGTTTCCTGACTCTCAGGGTTGGGGATGTATAGTCTGGGCCCTCAGGGATCTGCTCTATCATCGTCTACTGGGAAAGATCTCGAAACCCAGACTATCACCCTCCTTGGTTCAGGTTTCCAACTTTTCAAAGTCTTTCAGATGTTGAAAGCTTGGGCCACTTTGATTTTTTGAGCTTCTAGCTATATTCAATAGTAAAGAATTGACTAGATAGAATTACAAAAATCGTGTTTTATTTCAAATATGTGAATTTGATGTGAATATGATGCATTTTCACACACATTCTAAAATGCAGTTGTTGGTATAATCTCATTTGGAAATAATTTAAAAACTCCCACTGATGTTGCATCTGGCTTATAGCATCCTTGGTCTTGTATGCGCCCTCCTTACCTGTACTGCAGGTGAGTCTGATTCTGACATACCTCTTACTGTCAAGTCAGTCCTTCTGGAGGCCTTTCTTGAGCCAGTCCTGGGATGCTGTCCTGGTTCCCTGGCTTGCTGCATCCTGTTTTTGGCAGGAATGGACTACCATGAGGCCGAGAATGGTTCTCCCATGGCTGAAGCTGGGCTCTTGTATCATGGTCCGAACCAATGCCTGGACGTTTCATCTTGGAACCTTTATGGGTCCTGCACTGGTTTCCTGTGTCTGCCCCTTAGTACTCCTCATAGGAATCTACCCTACCTCCATCCTGGAGTTTCTGTTTCTGATTGTAGAGATTACTGTGGGTTACAGATGAATTAGATGGATGAGTTCCCTGGCTCAGGGGAAGGCCCAGGCAATCGGGTCCCCACACCCCCTCAGTTTCTCTGTGACACTCTGCTTAGCTTCCTCTCCTCCTATGGAACAGGATGCATCGAGGGATTTGGCCTTTTAGAAACACTATTCTGTACTTAACTGAGCCCCCAAAGAGACAGACCCAGGAATAAACATGATCTCCAGGGAAGACCATTTAATTGCATCAAGCTCAGATTTATTAGATGAAGAATAAATCCTATTAATAGAAGCTAGGAGGGACTAATTCTCTGGGGGAGAGAATTCAGATATAAGAGGATGATTCTTGTCAGTGGGAGCAATGGGCTGAGGTGGACACGATGACATTTTTGTTGGTGCAGAAGTCAGATTTGTCATTTTTATTGCTCAAGCTCCCAATGACATAAATGCATGCTTAGTGGCAGCCTCATGTAAAAGGTTGGGGGCATTTCACTGGAAAGCTTTCACATTATTTTTACCAAACCAGCATAACCCTGTACACAAAACATCTCTGTGTAGCCCATAAAATAGCTGGGAGACAATTTGATTTGGGGCTTTTATTTGAAGTGTATGCAACAGACGAATACATGACATGGCTGACACAGGTGGCTGAACACTTAATTCAAATAGGTGATCTGGGTGTGTGTGACACATAAATTGCTAAGGTAGATTTATGAGAACAAAATAGAAAAGACAAATAGTTGCTGGAGATCTTGAAGAGAGTTATATTTATTTATTTATTTATTTTTTTTATAGAGGCATGTTTTATTTATTTATTTATTTGTTTGTTTGTTTGTTTTGTTTATACATGCACTGGGTACAGTCAGAAGCACGGGAGGATGAGAGAATTCACCAGAGCCAGAGCGGGGAGCAGAGCAGGCAGAAGGACCGAAGCACACCGCTGAGGGGAGCAGTGGGCGGCAGGAGAGGTCCGCGCGCCATGTGGGACCCTCCTCTGGTGGCCGGGGAGCAGCCGGGGATCGAACCCGCACTGCAGAGGCCGCGGGTAGCTTCACAACCCAGCGCTCAACCGCTGCGCCACCGGGGAGGCCCTTGAAGAGAGTTTTAAATAATGACACACAAAATGGCACTGTAAAGCCTGTAGCTGGCTTTACAGGTAAGTTTGTTCAGACCTTTGAAGAGTTGTTTAACATTGTTTAAACAAACTGTTTAAACAACGCTGGTGTGGGTGCCAAGGCTGAGGGCCTTGGCACTCGGTATGTAAACTTTTATTTGCTTCCTCTGTGTTCTTTGTGGCTCTCCCACCCTATCTCTGCTTGGTATTTCCCTCACCTTTCAGGTGTCCTTCACTGCAGGACACACAGTCCACTTTCATCAGTCGTTGGCCTGGGAATAGAATTCCAGGTTGAAAATCACTTTCCTTGGAATTGTGTGGGTCCATCGTCTTGAAGTTGTTGTCAAATGCAGTGCATTCCTGACTCTTGGGACTGTTTATGGAACTGTGTTCTCTGTCTGGAAACTTGCAGGCTCATCTCATTTTCTCCAATGTTCTGAAAAATGTTCAGTGGCGTATTGGGCTGGGCACTCCATGGCCCCCTCAGTCTTGAAATTATAGAAGCTTCCTCAATTACCTTCAACTCTGTTTTTTTCTGGCCTCCTTTTCTAGAACTCCTGTTTGTTGGACCTCCTGGATGATTTATTTATTTATGCATACAAGATCTGGGTCACAGGCCAGGTGTGTCTGTGGGAGAGGATTCACCAGAGACAAAATGGGGAGCAGAACAGGCAGATCCACTGAAATACACTGCTGAGGGGAGCATCGGGTGAGACAGGAGAGGTCTGCTGTGCCATGTGGGTAGCTCCCTGGCTGGGGATTGACTGTGCTGCAGTGGCTGCGGATAGCTTCATGGTGCTGCGTCTTAACCTTTTGTGCCACCAGGGAGGCCCTAAACAAAGTGTTTAAACAATGCTGGTGTGGGTGCCTTGAATGTGCATTCATTTCAGACAATGCTATTAAGCACAGAAGTAATTTTTTTTTTCTGGAAAGAAGCTTAGAGTTCATATGAGAACCACACTGACCACCAGTGAATATATTGAGCCCCTTTATTCTTCTTGGGGGGCAATGCTGCTTCCTCTCTCTGGGATACTCTTTACCATCTCTTCCCTGGAAAATTTTTCCTCACTGTTCAGGTGCTGAAGTGTACCTCCTCCAGGCAGGTCTCACAGACTACAATCTATATCAGGTCCTCTCTTTGGGCCTCTCCTATCAAGGGGCATTATAGCAGCCAGTTGGGGGTGGAAGGCTGAGGGCCTTGGCACTCAGTATGTAAACTTTTATTTGTTTCCTCTGTGTTCTTTGTGGCTCTCCCACCCTTACTCTGCACGGTGTTTCCCATCCGCCTGTTTTATCCTATGCAGAGAATAAGTTTCCATTCCACCCCAAGGTGGGGAGGTGGTCACCTCCATGCTCAGAATGGGGGAGGGTTGCCTGGCTCTTGGTCAGCTCTCTCGGTTTTAGCTCCACCATCTATCCCACCCTCAGAGGCAGTTGGTATCTCCACTTCTTGTCATTTGCTTTTGCTTTTATGCATTTCTGAATCATCCACAATGAGTTACTTTCACAATCAGAAGAAAGTCCCTAACTTTTTAAAGTTTCATACCTCTTGACCCAGTAATTTTATTTCTTGGAAAATCAAGGAAATAGGCAATTTGGAAAACATTTATGTACAGCTATCTACATCACAGTACAATCTATAACAGAAGATAATTAGCTGCAAACAATCTAGAATCTAATATTAGTCTCATGTTGATGACAATAAAGTCACCAAGTGATGTTTCCAAAAATACTTGACATAGGGAAAAGCGTTATGACTTAATATAAAATGAATAAAGCAGAAGACAAAATTGTAGGTATGCCTTTACTCAGATTTTATTTATAAAATGCATGGAAGAAACTGGAAGGGATGTCTTCTGAATATTAACAGTTGTTACCCCTGAATGGTAGTGTCTCATTGTCTACAATAATGATTCATTACCACCATAATTTGAAAATAAATTCTACATATGAAAAGAAGAAAGTAGAAAAGTTAACGTAATCTTTGCTTACATTAATAGAGGTAGAAGTTTGAGACAAGAGAGGTGATAATCTCATGGAGTATGGTATCTAGGATATCTATGATATCTGGGGGAAGATGGCATATGCTGAGAGGAAAATAGATGAACTGCAGGTTGGCCAGTGCCTTCTGGAAATCAGAGTGAACAGGAGGAATAGAAGAGCAGGCTAAGGGCTGACCTGGTGGCTATTTGCTTGGGACTGTGCTGCTTGTCTGGGAAGGACAGAGTTGTTGAACCTTGTGTGGTCTTTGGGGTCAGCATCAGGGCTGGTAGAAGAACAGCTGTAAGATGGAGAAAGGAGTTCCAACAATCCTGTGATGGATAGCTCTTTCTGTAAATGTTGGTGGTGGTGCTGAAGCTGGTGTGGAAAGGAAGTGCAGGCTCTCTAGACAAGGCAATGGAGGTCAGTGGTAGAATGGGGTCAGCAGCCTGATGGTCAGTGAGCCAGCACGTTAGACTGGGAAGAAGTTTTGATATCATCCACCCAACAACTCTGTTTTTGTACAGTCTGTGACGTTCACATACTCCCATAAATCACAGATAAGATGACCTTGGGTTATGCAAAATTTCCAGTGTACTCCACATAACCTCATCCTTTTCTTTCCTACTCAGGAAGGCAATGTGAATTCAAGTGACTGGATTTGATCTTACAGTAATAACTTTGAATGTTTTGATTCATGGAAAATAGTACATGAGCATGAACTTCAGACCAATGATTCCTCACACCCAATCACCATATACCTGTTCTCATCCAACCCTTTCATTTCACAGTGGGGAAAATGAGGCCCAGACAGTGGGGAGGAATATAGTCAAGGGAATGTGATGCGTGGGAGACAGATCAAATCTCTTGGCTCTTTCTGTGACTGAGAGTTGCCTGTTATCAACTTAGATTTTGGTGGAGTTGAGGGGATAGGCTGGAGGAAGGAAGAAGGAGGTGGAGGAAGAAGTGCGAGGTGAATTTGTTGTCTTCTAATCAGGCTGCATCACCAAGGAGACCCCTGAGTGCAATGTATACTTAACACTCTGCTTGGCCTCTCCCACCAGGGCCTGGAGGCGAGGTGGGGTCAGTAGGGCCAATGGGGCTGACATACCCCAAAGGAATGCTGAAGTCCTAACCCTTAGTGCCTCCAAATGTGACCTAATTTGGAAATAGAGACTTCAAAGAGGTAATCAGGTTGAAGTTGTTAGGGTAGGCCTAATCCAATACAGCTGGTGTCCTCATAAAAAGAAATGAGGACAGAGCCATCCACATGCACAGGTGAAAGCTATGAGAAGGTGCAGGCAGAGGTGGAGGTGATACGTCCATTAAGGAACACTAGATTGTTAGCCACCTGCCAGAAGTGAGGAGAGGCGGGAGCAGAATCTCCATCCCAACCCTTAGAAGGAACCAGCCCCCCCAACACTGTGCACTTCAAGCCTGCAGAGCGGTGAGAGAACAGATTTCTGGCCTGGAAGCCACCCAGGCTGTCGTACTTTGTTTCGACCCCCTAGGGAATGAGCTTACAGTCACACTTCATTGGCTGCTGCCCCAATCTGGGTTTTCCCATCCCCCCCACACCGTCCTCACTCCAGCCCTTTTGCCCTGGTGTTTTGCCTCAGTCTCGCCAGAGGTCTAGTCCCTGGCCCCAGCCCCAGGATGGGGACAGCCACGTTGCAAGGGCTGGGGGGCCGGAGAGAGGGTGGTGCCTGAGACATCTCCTAAGGCAGGGGGTGTTTAGCACTTGCAGCTGAGCGGCAGCATGGAGGAATCTGTGGGTTTCAGGTGCTGGCAGCAGTTGGGTTGCTGAGACCAAAGACAGGTTATGCGGGAGCAAAAGGGAAGCCCCAGCAGAACCAGCAAGTATCCCTCCCCAGGCCCATCTGAGACAGCATCATTACGCACCTAACTGGTGATTAAGTTCCTGTTTATTTTAGAAGCATAAACAGCACAACTAGGAAGGAGTGAGGAGATCAAGACACCAACCCCCTGACAGGCCAGGTCCAGCGCAGGCTCTGTCTGCCCTCAAGGCTGGCCCTGCAGCCTCCACCAGCCTTTCCCTGTGAGGACAAGTTGTGAGGGCAATCTAGGCAGAGGAGGGTTGACCATGAAGTGAGGTGGGGTGAATTGGCTCCAGGTCCCTCTGAACCAGGTGAAAAAGGCAAGAGGGCCCATAACACCCTTGGTCAGGAATACCTCAAGCTGGCTTTGTGCCTGGGGCAAAGCCACACACTGAAGGGGAACTACGGTGCCCTCTGGCCACCAGAAAGGTACAAGGTATTCAAGAACCACCTGGCCCACTGGCCAGCAAGCACCTGCTTCCATCAGCCCTAGTCATCCCTGCAGAGACTTTTGGAAGGGGCATCTCAGGCAGCTAGACTTCCAGGACCCCTACACATACTGCTTCTTGGAAGCAGAGCTGCTGGGGCGACTGGGGGATTTCTGGTCACCATGAGGGCGTGAGTCTGGGAAGAGAGGGGGCCTGGAAGAAGCCAGCCTTTCCTCTGTAGTCAGATTGGCCCAGTTCTGCTCACTGGACGAAAGCCCATTGTAGGTGGGGCATGGTGGGGATGAGGGCCCTTCGCCCATGGGGAGGTAGAAGAAGACCTGGTCAGTGTAAGGCTCTGAGGAGGCGCCCTGGGCTGGGGGGTGCTCCTGGCTCTGCCGCTCCCTGATCCCCCGGCTCAGGCAGCGACACAGCAGGTGCGCCAGCTCCAGCAGGTTAAGCACCAGGGAGATGAGTCCGACCACCAGCATGAAGATGATGAAGATGGTCTTCTCTGTGGGGCGTGAGACATAGCAGTCCACGAGGTTGGGGCAGGGCGGGCGCTGGCATACAAACAGGGGCTCCATGTTCCAGCCATAGAGATGCCACTGGCCATATAGGAAGCCCGCCTCTAGCACACTCTTGCAGAGCACGCTGGTCACATAGGTGCCCATAAGCGCCCCTCGAATCCGCAGGCGACCATCCTCTGTCACCGAGATCTTGGCCATCTGCCGCTCTATGGAGGCCAGGGCACGCTCCATATGGGGGTCCTTGGCTGGCAGTGCCCGGAGTTCCCTCTCCTTCTGCCGCAGCCGCTCCTCCCGCCGAGACAGGTAAATGACGTGGCCCAGGTAGACCAGGGTGGGCGTGCTGACAAAGAGGAACTGCAGCACCCAGTAGCGGATGTGGGAGATGGGGAAGGCCAGGTCATAGCAGACGTTGGTGCAGCCTGGCTGGGCTGTGTTACACTCGAAATCGGACTGCTCGTCGCCCCACACGGACTCGCCTGCCAGGCCCAGGATGAGGATGCGGAAGACGAAGAGCACTGTCAGCCAGATCTTGCCCACCACAGTTGAGTGCTCTTGGACCTGGTCCAGAAGCTTCTCAAGGAAGCCCCAGTCACCCATGACTCCCGGGCCTCCGCCTGCAGGGAGACAGAGGCATTGTCAGCTGGGTATTTCACAGTATATTCTAGCAACAACCTGCAGGAGGCTGGCTGTACCCATTTTACCTATCAGGAAACTGAGGCTCCAGGAGGGGAAGGGACTGGCCTCAGGGCTCACACCCAGTGGGTGGTCAGGACTAGAAGCTGGGTGTCAGCTCCTAAGCTGTGACAGGGGCACAACTAGACTCCCTGTATGTCACATGTGTGTCCTTTCGATTCCCATCTGGAGCCTCAGATGACCGCAGCCAAGGAGCTCTGCAGCAAGTTGAGGCTCCTGAGCCTGTGGGAACAGAGAACTTTAGGAACCTATCCCAGGTCACACAGCTGTGCCAGGCCCTCCCTCCTCCCTTTTGCCCGTGATGGGCTGTGCCCAGACCTTGGGCTGGAGGTGATCCTATTCTGAGCTGTTCAGGGGTTCAAGGCTCGGGTCCCTGCTCCCTCCGTATCATATCTCACACAGCAGGTCCCATGCGGTGGAAGGTGGGTGGGAAGGTGTTAGAAGCTGAGAGCAGGCAGCTTCCTGCATTAGCTCCACCTGTCAGCATTAAGGACCACTTACAACTTCAGTGTAGCTGGGATCCAGCTCCCTTTCGCCACCCTCCCCACTCCCCTCTGCCCAAGCTGTTGCTCCCAAATTCTAGACTCCTAAGCTGGCTGAAGGCACAGACCACTAAGCTCCCAGAACATCTAGGGGTGGGGGAAACTAAGGCTGGAGGATGAAGGGGGAGGCCAAGCAAAGCTACTTCGAGCCAGGGTCTGGAACCGGACCTGGGTTCAAATCCTGTCCCTCTCTTACTAACTGGTACCTTGGCTGGGTGATGACTTCTTAGTGCCTTAGTCTCCTCTGCCGTGAAATAGAAGAAATAATATTCCTACTCCTAGCGCTACAAGGAGTCAAGGAGAGGTAGCAGCCATCCTCAGCAGAGCCTGGCCAGAGGCAGCTGGGAGCCGTGCCTGTGGGTCCCCCCCAGCTACCCTTCACCCCTGGCGGCAGGTGGCAGCCCGTGTTCTCCATCTAGTCTGTGGGCCGAGGGCGCCCCGCGGCTCCCCAAGCCCGGCTCACCTCTTCCCTGCGGGCCGGTCCAGGTGGCGGTGTGGAGCACGACCCCACGGCGGCAAAGCTGCGCCCGCGGGAGCGCGGCTGGTCTGCGGCCCGGCTGCAGGGGCGCCTTAAATAGCGGAGGGGCGGGGTGGGGGCAGGAAACGCTACAGGAGGGAGGGCAGCCAAGAGCTTTCCAGAGAGTGGGCGGGGATGCGGGGTGCAGGAGGTGGCACTGGGAGTCGGGGATGGAGGGAGACTGAGGACCCCCTACCTTCCCCTCTGCTCTCCGGGAGTGCAGCTGACCCACTCTCCGAGTCTCCGTGACTTTGGCGGTAAAAGGAGTTCTCCGAAGACAAAGTTTTCAGGGGTGGCTGGCTTTGAAAGGATTACAAACCAGAAACTGGCCTGAGAGGCTGGGAGAGACAGGCAGAGGGGGATTAGGGTGTGGAGGCCTCCAGGGTAGAAGCCTATGGCCCCGGGGGAGAGAAGCTAGCTGCTGTTTAGTGACCTCGGAGTGCCCGCCCAGTGCCCCTGTGCAGGACTTGGCAATCACAGCTGGCTAGCCATGGGAACCTGACAGGGAGAGAGGGCTTGGAGTCTGCTGTCCCCAGAGTCTGTGAGGAGCTGGGGTCTCAACCCAGCTCCTATTCTTGCAGAATCCTCAGCCCCCAAACCCGCTTCCCAGACAGGCTTTACAACCAGAAGTCACTAAGCAACTCCTGTGGGCCACTTGAGACTGGCGGAGAGGGGACTCTCCTCATGTCACTAACTGGTGGTGGTGGGGGGACATTGAAAGAAATGAAAGAGGTGGTCAGAGCTCCACGCCGTTCATTCAGACATCACCGGGTGGGCGACATTAATGAGGGTCCCTGTGCTGCAGACCTTGTGTGTGTGAGGGCCTGCATGTCTCTGCCTCTCACTGGCTGGTGCAGGAAGCAGGAATCGAACATATTGACCCTTGGGTTATAGCAAAATTATAAATGTGGTAGTTCCCTAGAGAAGTCCAGGGAGATTTATAGGGGACTTGGTTAGCAATGTATCCTGGAGGAGACTCATGAGCCAGGTGGAGGGGGAAGAACATTCTAGAGAGTAGGAACAGCACAGACAAGGCCCGAGGACCAAGGGTGGGGAGGCCTGGGGACTCTGACCCGTTGCCTCAGAATGCTGAAAGCCCCAGGCCGGCGGGCAGAAGCAGCAGAACTGAAGCTGAGACTGCTGAGCCCTTAAGTAGCTTAAGCCCTGTGCCTTGGTTTCTTCCTCTGTGTACAGTGGGAATAGTGGTAGTTTCTACTGTGTAGGGTTGTTGGGAGATGCAATCAAAGCCCAGAAAGTTTTCAGGCTGGCTAAAGATATGGCAACAAAGGTGTATGGGTTGGCTTTGGTAGCAGAAAGGACTGAGGGTAGGAGGCTCGGCAGACTGGTGGTGGGGGGTAGGCAGCTGAGGAAGGGGATGTAGAAGGTGGGGTCAAAGTCAGGGGCTGTTGGCAGAAAGCTCCCTGTTTGTCCACCACAGGGTTCAATCCTTTGACTTGCAGGGTCCCCCACGGTCCTACCTTCCTGGCTGGAGATTTCTGGGCAGCAAGTGTGGGTGCGTTCGGCTGGGACCTCAGAGTGTGAGGATTAGGCAGAGCTGGCTTCCCCTTCCAGGCCTGTCCCTGAGGGCCAGGCTGAGCTGGGCCTCCTGGATTTCCAAAGCTGACAACTGCGCCCACTTTAGTTCTGACCCTTGAGGGCATGAGAACGGAGGTCCCTGGGGACCGGTGCTCACCACACCCCCACTGCAGCCTTTACTCCCAGAGTTCCTCTGCTGAGGCTGGGCCAGTCTCTCCTAAAGCCTTTCTGATCCCAAGACAAGATGAGAAGGAGAGGAAGGAAGGAGGGAGAAGGGGTGGACGTGTCAGGGCTACCCTCACCCTCCTCTGACCCCTTCCTCGTGGCTCTGGAGGCACCTCCCCCGGGGATAGGAGGCTCTGGAATCAGCCAAGACAATATTCCCTACCACCTGGCCATGCCACAGGGAAAACACACCTAGAACCCGGCTGTTCCCTTCCTCCTCACTCCCCTGACCTCCTCAGTGGCCTCCTAAGGAGTCTCCTGGAGTCCAACCTCCCACCTTTCCCAGAAATCTGACCACAGCTGTGCCCTGCTTAAGACCCTTCCACTTCCTTGGCCTCATCCCCTTCCCCTTTCACTCAGGTGTCCAGCCAGAAGTACCACTGCAGCTCTCTGTGTTCTGTTGCCTTTGTCCATGCCGTTCCCTCTGCCTGCGGCATCCTCCCATGCTGAACCCCACAAGTCTTTCAGGCCCTTACTCCACATCTCCCTTTGGAAGTTCCCTTGCTGGCCTCTGCTGGTGAGAGGTTGTGCTGGTTGTGTTCTCACAATGTGCCATCCCTGGCTGCATTGTTTCTTGTTTTAAATTTCATTTTTATTAATGGTAAAAATCATGCAATGTCAAGTTACCGTCATTCGTTTTTAAGCATACAGTTCAGAGTGTTAAGTACATTTACACTATTGTATCACGGTCCTCTAGAACTTTATCATTTTGCAAAAGGGAAACGCTGGACTGATTAAACAGTTTCCCATTTCTCCTCTGCTTTCTTTGGTGCACCATTTAAACTGGGGCTGGTTGACATCCCCAGCACCTAGCAGGACCCAGGTAGATGGGAAATTCATTAATTCAGCATATAATTACCGAGTACCCCTCGGTGTTATGCTGCTGCCCTGGACACTGGAACTCGCCCCCTAGGGAAAAACAAAAACACCTGTCCTCGTAGGTTGTACATTCTACCTGGGGGATAACAGACAGTGACACCTAGGATCTGTCGGATGATGATAATTGCCATGTGGAAAGCAAAGTAGGAAGGGAGGGCTGAGGGTGCAAGGGTGGCAAGTCTGTTTTGAAGAGGAGGGAAATTCTCAGTAAACAGCTGATGTTGGATGCAAGCCCCAAGGAGGGGGGAGAGCCTGGTGGCTCTCTAGGGCAAAGAGCGTTGCAGGCTGAGGGAACCAGATACAAAGGCCCCGAGGCAGGAGCATGCCTGCTGCTTCCTGTTTGGAGCAAGGAGAAGGGAACACATGAGGTGTGGCTGGGGGCTGATCTCATGGCTCCTGAAGTCTGTGTAAGTTGCCTTTGGTGTTCAGGGCAGAGGAGTGGCATGATTTGACTTAGGTTTGGACAGGATTGCCTTGGCTGCTGTGCTGAGAGTAGACCATGGGGGTGGGTGGTGGAAACAGATATCACCCCTACACCCCCTCAATCGGGGACTCAATGCCCAGCTCTGCAGAGTCTGCTGGTTGGTGGCTTCCTGCTCCTAACTCTTGCAGGTCTGCTTCAGCTGTCCAGATGGTCACTCTGCGTGGGGTGGCCCTGGGCAGTGACAGAGCCATCTAACAGGCACAGAGCTCCCTGCAACAGGTCTTCTTTTAAGGCCACTAATCCCACTCATAAGGGCTGTACCCTCACATCCTAACCACCTCCAAAATCTCCACCTCCTATTAGCATCACATTGGAGGCTGGGATTGCAAACTGTGAATTTAGCTGGGGAGACTCATTCAATCCATGTGACAAACTTGGACCAGCATGGTGTCTACAAAGTCTCCTGTTACCCTGTGTTGCCAGCTGGCTGGCATACCACACAGAAGTGAATGAACTTGAAGGCTGTTCATATGAAACGGAACTGTCATATTCAGGATTGAAGGAAGCTTGCAGTGAGTGCTCACACAATGAGGAAGGAGGAGGGAGAGGCATGTGTCCTGAGAAGAGCAGGCCAACGGGACTTGAGAGTCACCTCATGGTCGCAGCGTTGTGCTCTGGGGACTCTGGGTGGTGAACAGCAGCCAGCTCAACACAGACCCAATGGGAAGAGTGCACTACACCTCTGGGAATAACTCTCACACCAAAGGTGGGGAGGGCTACAGTGTCCCCTCATCCCAGCCTGGAGAAGCAGGGCTGGGACTGGAAGCACAGTCCATGCTACAAGAGTCTAGAGTCGGTGACGTTCTCTGGTTGCTCTGACCTCCCAGCAACTCTCCAGGCAGTGGGACCCACCCCAGAAGAGACTGGAATGCATGACTTCAAGCAGGTGGAGATGACCCCTCCCTGAGGGCTCTGCCCTCCCTGAGGGCTGGGGTAGATGTGCAATGTGGCCCGGGCAGCAGGCAGACTTCCCTAAGCATGGTGCCTGCGGATGTGCTGAATATACTAGATTAGTATGGACACTGGACTAGCATGTCTCCTCTGGTGGCTCCTTTCTCCACACAGCGCTCCTGGGAGTAGCATTGTCCAGGGTGCTGGGCTGAATAAGTGTCCTTTGCCCCTCACATCCACTCTCCGCCTGGCTCAGTGTCCTGAGAAGCTGTCCAGACCTGAGTCTCTTAACAAGTTCTCTGCCCTCTGGCTTTGGGTTGGGTCAGTGGGAGAATCTGGCAGGTGAGCAGCAAGACAGGAGAGTGAAGTAGAGGAATTGACTTGATGGCTGTGGTTGGATGCATCCTTGCAGGTCCCGAGTAACAGGCCAGTTCGCTGCTCTTAGTATAAGCCCCAGGGTAGTGTGGGTTGTGGGTTTCCTTAATCACATCCAAGCCTTTTTAAAGCAGACCCTCTAGGAAACTCTAAAGTTACTCAGTTTGAATGTGCCATCTGTTTCCTGCCGGAAACCCCATTTCTACAATTCCCATTGTATTGATGGAAGACCAAGGCTGTGGTTCTGAAGCCTGCCCAAGAGGCAGGGTGGTGAAGATGTGGTTATGAAGTGGTTAAACTATGACTCATACCTGGGTGGTGGGTGTTGGTCCAACCCCAGCCCTTTAAACTTGGCTGGTTATCTGTGGCCTCTCCATGGGGGCATGCAGGAGGGCAAAGGTGAGTCATGATGAACCCACCTCTCCCTGCCTGTATTGGCTCTTGGCTCACGGCCTCCTGGATTCCTGGCTCCTGGCTTTGGCTTTGATAATCATAAATGTTCCCCTGGGTTAGTATAGCCTTGCCCTGCCACCCGCTCACCCCCTTTGCTTTCCATTCCAGCCTGGCTTAGATTTCAGGTCACCACACAGTGATGGGGGTGAGGTGGTGAGTCACTCGCGGGGCATTATTTAGTGTAGATGAGTATGTTTCTGTCTCCCCCAGAGTCTGAGCTGGGTGGCTCAGGTCCTGTTCTCAATACAGTCCTAGCATCCCACTGGGGACCCGGTGCAGAGAAAATGCTCAGGGAAAGTGCCAGGGACTGGATAATGCTTGGGCGAGGCAAGAGGTGACAAGTATACAGACATAGCAAGAGTGTGAACAATTAGTTTTGTGTACACAGGGCGTGGATGTCCGTTGTGGATGGCAGTGATTGAATTCCAAAGGCGGAGGTGGGGCGGTTTGTCTTTGATGAAAACGCAGTGATTGTGCGTGTGCATGCTTGCAAAGGGCACGGTCTGGCTGGGATCCCTGCTGCAGAGGGAGCACAGCGCCCTCTTGTGACCTCATCTACAACCAACATGTAGGATCCACCCCTGCCTCTGCCTCCCAGCTCCTGCCAGCTCCAGTGTAACTTCAGCTCCAGCCTTAGCCAGAGCCCCACTCTAGCCCTGAAGCTCTCTCCCCATCTGAGGGCTGCCTTCGCTGCCCTCTGGCCTTGTGAGTGGGAGTGTGGGAGAAGAGATGATAGAGCCAACCTGTATAAAACACAGCCTTTATTGATTTGAAGGAAACTGCCTTGGGAATGTTCCTATCAGCACATCCACTGGAGTCCCTGGACCCTGGGTCTGGAAGGCTGGCACCAGACCCACCACACACATCAGCAGGGAGGAAGATGGGAGCAAAGCTGCCTGAGGTTAGGGTGGGGGTGGGGGCGGGGTGGCGAGGTGTGAGGGAGGGGAGCTCCCCTGGAGGACCCAGAGGACCCCCGGGTGTCATGAGCAGGGTTTGGTGACACCAGAGTCATCTCATTCTCTTCATAAACACACACAGCCCTCCAGACCTCCCACTGCTGGGAAAGTACTTCCTCTCCACGCAGGAATCTGGGTGCTTCTCTCAAGGGAATGAAGATTCCATTTGGTCAGCTGCATCCAACCCAGGCCAAGTATCTCTTCCCGTAGCTTCCAGGCCTCAGTGCCTGCTGTTCTTTCTGCTTGGAAGCACTTCTCATCAATCTTAACATTATTTCTGTGAGAAGCCGCCCCTGATCACTGCCTCCTGGGTTAGGTAGTGGCCCTCTATCAGCTCCTGAAGCCTCAGTGGATGCAGTAGTTAATTTGCTGGTTTCAGTGTCTGCGTCCTGGGGGCTGGGGGGGGGGGGCTGGCAGAGGGCTTGTGGTGCAACTATACTGAGCTAGACAGCACCATGCAAAGTGCCCAGAAATCACCTGCCCAAGCAGAATGGAATATCTTAGTACACTCAAGGTGGGGGCACCCAGCACCAGGAGGACCCCTCCACCAGCACCAAACCTCCCTGCCTGTCCCCACTGGCAGCTCTGATGTCTCTCCCTAGCCTGTGGTCAGATGGGGGTCAGAGTGGGTGCTGAGGCATTCAGCTTGCCCTCAGTGGGGCCTGGGCCCACCTCTGCAGCCTCTAAGAGCTTGTGGTGGCAGCGGCAGGTGGAGGAATGTGCGCCACGGTGCCCCGGGGGCTTGTTCTTGTGCAGGCCCCGCAGGACCCGGTGTAAGATGAGGTAGCAGATCTCGCAGATGGTGAGCACGATGCAGACAGCCGAGGCACCCACCATGAAGTAGGTGAAGACCTTCTTCTCGGTGGGCCGCGCGATGTAGCAGTCCACGGTGTTGGGGCAGGGTGCCACGCTGGCGCACTGCACCAGGCGGGGTATGTCAAAGCCGTGCCAGAGCGTGTGCAGCAGGTAGAGGAAGAGAAATTCAATGATGAGCTTGAAGACAAGGCTGAGCAGGTAGGTCCACCACAGGCCGCCGTGCTTCTTGCCCGCGTTGCTGTACAGCTTGGCACACTGGTCTCCATGCTTCTCGCGGTGCCTTCGCTCACGTTCCTCGCGGTAGGCCACATGCAGGATGACCAGCAGCGACGGGCACGTGACAAAGATGAGCTGCAGCGCCCAGAGGCGGATGTTGGAGATGGGGAAGAAGTTGTCATAGCAGACGTTTTCGCAGCCGGGCTGCCTGGTGTTGCAGTCAAAGTCCTTCTGCTCGTCCCCCCACACGCGCTCTGCAGCCACCACGTACACCAGCACACGGAAGACAAACACCACCGACAGCCAGATGCGCCCGAAGGCCGTGGAGTACTTGTTGACGCCGCTCAGCAGGGCCTGCAGCGTCTTCCAGTCCATGGTGCCTGGCGGGGGTTCCGGGGGCCGTGCCCACCTGTGAAATAATAGGAAAAATCACATCAATTAAAGGGGACTTGATTGAGCATTTGTACGAGGTACCAGGCTCTGCTCTGAGCTCTTTTGTAGATGGACTTGTTTGAGAGACCATGGTGATGGTCCTATGAGGTCAGACTGGTTATTTTCCCCAAGCTACGGTAGGAAATGAGCACAGAGCTGTTAAATAACCAGGGCAAAGTAAATCAGTGGCGGCAGGAAGGGAAGGGGCATTTGCTGATGAGAAGTGACTATCTACTGAGTGTTCATGATGAGTCAGGCACAGAGCTGAACATTCTGTGTGCAGGAGCTCATCTAACCCTTATGTGACCCTGTGAGGGAGAAACTATTATGTCCGTTTGCAGATGAAGGAATTGATAATCAAGTGAGACAGTGGCTGCGAAATACTTGGTATGCAAGACATGAAATCTAGAGAGGTTAAGTTACTCATGTAAAACTGGAGTTGGCCCAGGACATCAGCCTTAGAGAGATATTTGGGGACTCAACAACAAGGGCAAAGGAAAAAAAAGCAAAAATAAACAAATTGGACTACATCAAACTAAAGGTCTTGTACATCAGGTGAAACTACCACCACAACAAAAAGGGAATCTATTGTCTGGGAGAAGATACTTGCACATCAAATGTGTGACAAGAGGTGAATTGCCAAAATATGTCAAGAACTCATAAGACTCAATAACAAAAAATAACCCAAGAAAAATGGGCAAAAGACACTTCTCCGAAGAAGATATACAGATGGCCCACGGGCACATGACAAATACTCAGCATCACTTATGTATTATAAGAGAAATGCAGATCAAATCCACAATGGGATCTCACTTTGCCCCCTTAAGAACATCTATATCAAGGGCCTCCCTGGTGGCACAAGGGGTTAAGACGCAACCTATGAAGCTATCCGCAGCCTCTGCAGCAGCACCAGTTCGATCCCTGGCCAGGGAGCTACCCACATGGCGTGGCAGACCTCTCCTGACTCGCCTGCAGCAGTGTATTTCAATCAATCCATCTGTTCTGTTCCCCAGTCTGTCTCTGGTGACGCCTCTCACCCCCCCGCACCTCTGGCTGGTACCCCAGTTCTTGTAAGTGTAAATAAATAAATCTTTAAAAAAAAATCTATCTCAAAAAGCCTCTACAGAAAATGGTATGGAGAGTCCTTGAAAAACTAAAAATAGAAATACCATCGAACACAGCAATATGCAAGGAATTTATCAGAAGAGCAGGAAAGCATTAATTTGAAAAGATTTATGTACCCTAATGTTCACAGCAGCACTTCACCATGGCCTAGACATGGAATCAATCTAAAGGCCCATCAGAAGGCTGGATAAAGAAATTGTGGTATACACACTCAATGGAATACCACTCAGCGATGAAAAAAGATGAACTCTTGCATTTGTAACAACACGGATGGGACTTGAGGTGATTATGCTAAGTGAAATAAGTCAGAAAGTGAAAGATAATTACCGGGTGATTTCACTTTTGTGGAATATAAATAACCAAAGAAAACAAACTGGTAAAAACAACAAAAATAACTCTTGGATTCTGAAAAATATGGTGGTTACCAGAGTGGGAGGGGAAGGCAGGTGGGGGGAAAGGCCAGAGGGGTCAATTTGATAGTGCAACAGCATGAGAACTGTTGAGCAAGTGAAGCACACACACAGGTGTGAAGCTGTACTCCCAAAATGATATAGTTTTAGGAAAAAAAAGGTAACTCAATAAAATCTGATTGAACAAATGATGAGCTGAATTCAAGGCCAGGCTGTTGGTGCCAGGGCTGTGTACTTTACCACCTTCTCTCCCCTTCTCTGGCAGATGACTACCCAGACCAGGTTCTTACAGCTTCCCTCAATGAGGTGAACCCATCCTACAGAGGAGAAATTGGGGCTCAGAGAGAAATGACCTCCCCAAGATTTCACAGCCAGTGGATGGCAAAGCTGGGGCACCCATTCAGTTTGGGGTGGAGGGGATGGGTAATGATTTGGCACTTGGGAGGACACCAGACATAGGGAAAATCTAGATAATACCCTCCTGCTCCCATGCCAAGTCTGGGGGCGGCCAGCCACCCATGGATATCAGGGCTCGGTGGTGTAAGACATGCTTTGTTTAGGCCCCCCAAATCCCACATCTTCCTCTCTGTCCTGGGTGACTCAGAGGGTGTGGAGGGTGGTTCTGCCTGAGTACGCCTAGTGTCTGCAGCTGCTGTGGGTGTGAGAGCATGAGTCTCTCCACGTGGGTGTGTGGGCCTGCGCGGCCGTGTGAGTGCCCTGGGGCTGGGGTTGTGACTCTGAAAGTGCACTGTGCCTGCAAGCCCCCCTGCACAACCACTTCTTAGCTCTCCACTACTACCTCCTGGCCAAGCCACCATCACTCCTGCCCTCAGTGGCCTTTCAGCGTCCGATCCGGCACCCCTAGAGTTTATTAAGTTATGAATGTAACCCCCCCTTTTTAAAACTCTCTCCTGGTTTGTCATTATGCTTACAATTAAATCCCAGCCACTACAGTCTCACCCTTCTCTCCTATATTCTCACCCCCCTTTCTCTGCTCTGCCACTCTGAGGGGCCTCAGGGACTTTTATTTTTTTTTAAAAGATTTATTTATTTATGCATACAAGAACTGGGGTACAGGCCAGAAGTGCGGGGGGTGAGAGGATTCACCAGAGACAGAGTGGGGCACAGAACAGGCAGACTGACTGAAATACACTGCTGAGGGGAGCAGCGGGCGAGTCAGTAGAGGTCTGCTGCGCCATGTGGGTAGCTCCCTGCTTGGGATCAAATTCCTGCTGCAGAGAGCTTCACAGTACTGCAACGTAACCCCTTGCGCCACCAAGCCTCCTCAGGGCTTTGTAAATTTTCCTGCTACTTGGGATGCTCTTCCTCCAGAAACTTGCATGACTAGATCCTTCTCATCACTGAGGCCTCTGCTCAAACTTCTCCTTAGAGGCCTCCCCAGATAACCTTGAACCTGGGAGTCCCTGCGCTCCCAGCCACTTTGCTCCTGTCTTTTTATTTTCATCCTCACATTTAATCACTCTTTGAAATTAAAGTATTTGTTAATTTTTTGTTTATCTTCTGACTCCTCAACTAGAACAACTCTGTCTTGCTTGCTGTTTTATATTAGCACTCAGGGCAAGACACACACTAGGTACTCAATTAGTGCTGAATGAATAAGTAAGTGAACGCTGAATTCTCAGAGATGCAGGCTGCAGGAGGGGCTGCAAGGAGTGGCTGGAGCCCCAAGGAGCAGGGTGGACAGGGCCTCTTGTGGAAAGGCTTCCCTGCTCTGGATGGAGAGAAAGTGCAGCTCCTTCTCGGCACCTCATGCCTCCTGGATGCTTCTTCTCTGGAAATCTCAGACAGAATGGGGTGACTGGGGAAGAATCTCGAAGAACCTCCTCGTCTTCCCCATGCCATTCCAAGACTTGGCCTTTGGAGATGAGCAAGGAACCACGCGGGGATTCAAGTCTCTTACTAGCTCTTTGGCTTCCAAGAATTCCCTGATCTTGATTTCTTGCCTTTATGTGAAAGGGAAGTAACATATTCCCTCCGCAGCCCACCCACTCACCTGGTGAAGGTTCAAGAAAATGGAAGTGAGGTTGTCTGCAAGCCCTGGAGGAGCGGAACCCTGCCCTGTGCCTCCACCTGATGCCTGGCCATGGCAAGCATGCACCCACTGGGGTGCAGCCTCCTTCTGGGTCACCTCTTCTACCACGTCTACCAGTCCTGTCCGCCCAGTCCACCCGACACACCCCAGAGAAGCGACTCACAGGGAAAGAATTTCCCTCCTAGCGCAGCAGCGCGCAGGGCGCAGGCCCGGGCTGGTGGAGCCGGTCTGGTCCCTAGGCAGTCCCCCAACACCAGCCCCCGGTCATCCGCTTTTTCCCAGCCTGGGGACCCGGACTGGCCTCACCCAACGACGCAATCCCCCATCCCCCTGCCCCCGGGACAGAACTGCCCTTCCTGCACCCCCGGCTTCCTCACGTCCTCTCATTCCGGCAGCTCCGGGGCTTCAGCCGCGGGATGGGTGGGGGCTGCGGGGCGGGGTGTCGGGAAGATTCCGCAGCAGAAGCCCCGCATTCCGCGCGGGACTGAGGCGTGGGAAGCCGAGGGGTAGCTGCCCCCCTCCCTTCCCCTCTCCCCGGCGGTCCGGCTGGGTGGGGCGGGCTGGACCCAGCCCCGTCTGGCCTCGGCGCCCCCGGGGGCCGCACTTACCCGCAGCGGCGCGCCCAGCGCGGGGCCCGGGCCCTGCGTCCTCCGGGTCAGCGGCTCAGGCGCGAGTGGCCGGAGCCCCGGCTCCGCATCGGGGCGAGGCGCAGGGCGCGGGCACACCCCGGGACGGCGTGGAGGAGGGAGGGTCGGGGGAGGAGCTCCGGAGCCCGCCCGACGGCGCGGAGGGTCGGGTTCGAGACCCGACGCGGCCGCGCGTTCCCGGGGCACCCTTCCCAGCGCCCCGGTTTCTTCTTGTGTGAATGGGGGCAGCTGCCTGGGCGGGGCTGCTGCAGACTCCAATAAGATTAGGGGCGTGAGGCGCTCTGAACTGTTAAGTGCCGTGCCCGGGGATGGATGCAGTCATGACTCGCCCACGCTCTTTGCCACGCATACCGTGCCCGCGCCCCGCCCGGCCCTGGGCCCGGCCTCGACCCCGTGTGGGGCGCTCCTAGGGGCCGTCCCCCACCCCACCCCACCCCACCCCACCCCCATCCCTCTGCACGCACACCAAGGTCTTCAGTGGCAGTGCCTGCTCGGGCTTTACCCCCTCTAATGAGGCCGAGGAACCGGGCTTGGGGGTACACTAGCAGATCCTGTGCCTGCAGAGAAGGGGGATTCCAGGGGTGAGGGTGGATGGGGAGCGGCAAGGCTGTGAGTGAGTGAATGAGTGTGTGTGTGTGTGTGTGTGTGCCTCAGGTGGGAAGCCACTTGTGGCTGGGCTAGGTTCTGGGGACAAAGACGCTTTTTCTTATTACGGGG